TCTTTCCCTGGCCTCTAGCAGACTGATGCTCACTGACTGCCTTTACAGCACTGATACTAAGCATATCTTTGCCATGTCTGATGGCTAAGTAGCAAACACTTATTTCGTCTACAAATGCTCTTAAACATGTTTACCTTGTGTTTTTTATAACTGCTGTGATTAACATTGTGAAATAAGTTTAACGCTAATATTTTCTATATCTTTTATAATAAAGATGTCTTTTTGAAAGAGTGCTGGAACTCTGTACTGAATTTAGTGGTGCTTACAGTTCAAAAGGCTGCAGCAAGCTGAAGGAGTAGTTCGTTCTGAAAAATTTTCTAGCCCCTCAAGGGATGAGGTAGGGGGAACTTAGCTTTCCTGTGGTAAGGACTTAGCTTTTCCTGTTTTTCTGTGTTTACGGGGACATAGGGCGATTTCCGCACCCTTCCCCCACCCACCCCCCCCACCACACCAACACAAATGCATGGCCCAAAGAGGTATGTTTATAGTGTCATTAACCGGGGTTCAGGAGAACAAAAGCATGATTGTTATCCAGTCTTTACTGGAAACTAATCTACAAAAAGATCAGGTAGGAAATCTGTGACAGAACTAGACATGGAGCCTTTCCTGAGAGCCTGACTTGGAGACTTCTAGTGCAATTAAAAAAGGTGGTTTGAGGATGGGAATTCTTCCCTGTTCCATAAGCTGTGTAGAGATTATACCAACAGATCCATAGGGGCGTTGAAAGGTTTTTTAATTTGGGTGTGCAGTTTGAGGCAGTTAAGAAGGGAAAAACTAGATCCTTGCCTACTCTGCCTCATATCAAAATGCTGATTGCAGAATCTCTCATTGGAAGCATCTATTGCCTTGCTGTATTACCCCCTAGTTGTGCTATCTGCTTTCAGGGAACCTCTGTTGACACTAGAGTCTTGAAGGTGGCAATTCCCCTGTAAAATAAAACATTTTGGAACTTACTTAAGCTGAAGCCCTCTGGGCTATGATGAAGAACTACCTCCTGCAGAGAGCTCCATTGCCATAACTGCTTTAGCGTACTTCCTTTACTCTTTCAAGTTTTTGTAGTCTTCCCTACGCTGTACTAACAATACTGGAATCATCTTATGATATTTATTAGTCATACCTTGATTTTCTGGGTCTGTATGTGTTCCAGTCCTCCCTTGAGCCTACAGGAGAGATTCCTTCTCTCCTCTTCCCTCCCTCACTTTCCCACATGTTAACTTCTACAGTTTGTTCTTAAGCAAGTTGTGGCCCAAATAGAGTCAGAGACACTGATCTTTTTCAGAGAAACGGGTCTTCCCCTTCCTCGTCCTGAAAACACAAATCCAGCCTGATCATGCTTCGTGGAGCATGATGATTGTAAGGCAGAGATCCATCGGCACCCTGTGCGCTTTCTGCAGCACGCTTAAGCAAACGTAGCTTGAAATATAAGCAAACTATGCTTTTTGTAGGGGTACTGTGGAAGGGAGGAAGACGAACTCTCCCCTTCTCCAAGATCTGCCTTTTGATTTTGGGCAGATTATGGGAGATTATAGAAAGGGCCTGTGAAGTAAATGATCCTTTGTATTTTCTGCAGTGATAACTTGTACGAGTGGGTTTCTGAAGATAATACGTCCTAGTAAAGCATTCCTCATTGGCAAAGAATGGCATGGTTTATATCTTCCAGTCTAATACTCCTTGTTGCTAGTGCTTGGTAAAGAGAAAATATATTGGTCATCATTCTCAATCAGCTGATTGTAAAGCACTGAAGACCTGTTTGTATGCCAGCTGTTAAGAAGTACATGAAACCCATATTAGAGACTTCTGAGGAAATTTTGGCTTTCTTTAATGTTTTGCCATACATGAAATACTAGAGTAAGGTGTCAGACAGTTAATGTATTGCTCTCAGAGAGACAGAGCCTAACATATGCTGACTTGCTTGGTGAGTGTTACTTTGAGGCTGCTTTGTTTCCCTATCTCCAAGGCATTTAGGCATTGCCAAAACTGTATGTATTTTACTCAGCTACTGAGATTTATTGATAAATCCCTGCCTGTTTGCTTTGGGTCTTGTCAATACTCTGCTGGCTAGGTTAGGTTGTCCCCTCCCACATCTTTGATTAGCAGGTTTTGATGTTTCAGTCTTCATTAGAAACAATAGCTCAAATTAACATTTGTTGTTTCAAGTGGATGCTTGTTGATCATCAATATTTATTGATCTCAGACCTTGTCTGATAGCGCATAGCTATAGGCAGATAGCTGTCCCCATGTTTGAGCTTGCAAAGCATTGTACTTCCATGCATACTGGGATAAGTCAGCTTCAAAATAGAGCAATAAGTTAGCTAATTTTGGGAGTGAGAAGAGGTAACAATTGCGTGCAACTTGCCAGCCTGCCTCAAAACTGGGACCTCACAAGTCTACCTGTCAAAAAAGCACCTTTTTGCATTTTTCCAAGTTATAACTTAGTGTCTTCTGGTGTAATACCCAAATACCTAATGTGCTCAAAGAGCTGGATTAATTTTTTATCCTGAACTCTCTGGAATAAAAGAAGTCAAATACGTGGAGCAAAAAAGCACAGATAGTACATGTCATAGTAGGTACCTGCTGTTTGCCTAGCTAGTAATTTAAGGAGGTGCATACTATGATTCATTAAAAAAAAATGTTTTTCTCACTATGTTCCTGAGCCTATGTTATCAGAAAACTGTAACATCATCCTGCATTCATGACTATTTTGTATTGTTTAAGCTTCCAACAACTGAATTTTCAAAAACTTATGTTTTTTCACTGGTGAAATAGCCATCCTCAAGCATGTTTGTTATGATATCTTTAGTGGTGGGAACCTCATAGAGAAATTGCTCTTCCTTCTCCCATTCTTTAAAAAAAAAAAAATCTTTAAAACTTCACCTTAACACAATGGAAATTTATTGCAGTGGTAGTTCTGTTCATGTCCCTTGCTTTGGTGTTCTCTACCTTATGGTTGAGGAGTATTGCTAACGTGCTTTTTCAGGACTAGAATTACAAAACGTTTCCCTCTTTCGTCAGGTTGAACAGTTGTTTAAGGTTTGCTTCTTCTAGATATCAGTTGATTTTTTTTTTCCTGAACTTCAGAAATAATGATGTTCTGTAACACAAGCGTGTGTCCATATTGGCTCCCACTAGGTAAGCTACAGCCTCAGAGCAAGCTTGGGGAATGGAGATGGCGACAGGAAGCATGAACATCAGTACCATTTCTCACACAAGCATTGAAATAGGCTTTGCAGCCCATTTTAGTGTATGGCAACTAAACAATTTTGTTTAAATTAGTACATGCTTCAGTCTTTAGTGTGAATTTTAACTGTGCTGGAAACAAGAGAAGAAATAAGTGTGACAGGCCGAAGGTGAGGCTGGATGTGAACTACATCTTTACCAGGTATGTGCTCATGATAAATCACAGTTCTGAGGTGCACATGGTTCTCCCAGTACAACTTACTCTTCCAGAATGCTAAGTTCAGCAAATGCTGACATGTTATATAGCATCTAGTTTTCTGCTCCTTACAAATAACAACATGTTAGTTTGTTGTGTGGTGCTGGTTTGGGGATGTATGCAGGAGAGAGTACATATATTCATCTAGGACAGTAAGAGATGATTTTGTTTGCATGCCAAGTTAAAGGGAATCTCTCTGAGAAAGTACTTTCCATTATAATCATGCAGCCTGCTGGCCAGCTTTTTGACACCTAATGACTAAAAATTATTTCCACTTCAGCTTGTTGCTTTTTCCTCTTGTGGGAGTATGTAGCTCGATGTTGCTTCCAGAGCTTGTTTTACAAACAGCACGATGTTGAAAAGGCTGGTAAAGAAGTCACCTATGCTTAAAATTTATTGCTGTACTACATTCCTTTACTTCTGTCTTCTTATGATTTCTTTAGCTCTTCTGACTTATCCCCCTCACTGTGCACAGCTTGTCATGCTGTGACTGATACTGTTTCCTGGTAATGAATTTAACAATCTCTTATCACAAGATGCCCCAGATACTCAGACGTCAATATCTGCAGAAAGAACAAATGCATGTTTTGCACATACATGCAAGATAAAGCAATTGATTTTTTTTTCTTAAATCAGCAAAAGTTCTTTTAAAATGTCACATTTACCAACTAAAAGTGAAGGCTCCCTAAGCCAATGTCTTATTTTGGATCGCTACAAAGTGATACCAGTAAACATAATTCTGCATGAAAACAGTGACACTAGCCCTGCATTTTAACGTAATCTTATAATCCAATGTGTATGTTAGAAAGGCCAAAGCTATTTAAAACTTCAATTGTACAAAATGGCCCAATTTAATTTAGATTCAAGCTGGCCTTCAGTTTTACCTTAGCTGGGTAGCTGCAGCCTGCTTTTTGATGACTGGACATTTATTACCTATTCGTAAACAAGCAAGCGATGACTTTGAAAGCAAGTTTCTCTTGTAAGAAATCATGGAGAAGAGGATAAAGTATTACCTTTTCAGTTTATAAATCTAAGCCACTGACATTCTCATTTACACATCACAGAGTGAAGAACCCAGAGCTTGAACCAAGTCAAAGTGACTTTTTTAGTCTTGAAGAAAAAAAAACCCTAACTGTCGTATCCTATCTGCATGAAAACATCTTTTGACTCTAAAACTCAAAACCCAGTGGGCTGTTTTTGTTTATTCATGCTGCTCCGCTGTATTAGCAAATAATTCCAGTGGTTCATTTGAAAGATGAATAACTACTTGCAAGATGTGATTAATTTGGTAGTTTTCCAAGAGCAAGTGAAAACTTAACAGAAGACTTTTTTTTTCCTTTTCATACAGAGCAACATAGAGAAAAGCACTAGAAATAGGCCTGTCTGCCTTAAAGTATAAAGAGAAGCTGAGTGAAAGGCAGAGACAAAACGGTGTCTTTATTTCCCTATATGTTACTAACAAGGCTCATTTCCGAACCAGTACTTGGATCATGAAGACATCCAAATTTTCAGTCAACTTTATTGATAAAATAAGTTTACTGTACAGTACACAATTGTAGACATAAATTCTTTTCAAGCCATCAGCATTACAAAAATAACAGGTATGCAATGAAAAATAGTCACTCCACACAATGTGAAGGTTTTTTAAAATCCTAAAGCAATCAGGGTCGGGGAATGAAAGGAGAGACGTATCAAACGTGAAGACTAGGAGTAGATAAATTAAGTCACATTTTTTAAATTTACAAAAATAAACACTAATCAAGCATTATTTCATAATAGAGCCACCTTAAAGAACTGCCACAGACTAACAACCCTTCTCTGCTATACAACTCTGGAGATTGCATTTGAAAGACAAACCAGAAAGTCAGTCATAAAACTGCATTCAGCACACAACGGATATGTCTTTGATACCACTCAATGGCTGAAAGGACACTTAAAACAAACAAACTAGAAAAACCCTTAAATTGAAAACAAAATTTCACTTAGGTTTGCAAGAACAAAACACATTCCTCTAGAAAAAGATGTCACTTCTGATAAATCACCAGCTTGCAGGCTGGAGTAGAAATGCAAAATCTAAATTATATCAGCGTTAGGAAAGTTTTACAGGTAGTAATAGCAGACAAGTAGATTTTGTGCTTAAGCTAGAATGTTCCCCAAAAATTTTCCCAAGATGTTTTAGCAAGTTTGGAAAGGGTTAAAGGACAAGGTTTAAGGCAAGGTTTTTTCATGTGCATGAATGGCCTCAATATATTCTTAAACCTAGAAACAAGCCAAGATTCTTTGGAAGAAGTAGCAGTCTCTCTAATTGTAAAAATTGCTGGAAAAATTTGGAGAGCTTGATTTACAGCTGTCCTTTCTGAGGTCTTATTACAATGTGATGCATTTCCTGACACATGCATCAGTTCATCAAAAAACTCGCATTTACTACCTCCATTAAATACTCCTCTTTCCCCCTCCCCTTCGCTTGTTTCTCTTAAAAGCACTATAGGAAGAGGGGGGAGGGGGCAATTAACAGCACCAGAACAAAACTGTTAACGCTCCCTCTGAATTAGTTCACGGGAGCTTAAAATTCAGTCTTTCTTAGACCTTGTGGTATATTTATCTTGAACCTAAGGAAGTTATACTGAGTCAAAGGAAGTTATATTTAAAACTGACACACTTAAAAATTGCTTGATGCTTAATCCGTCTCTGTATTGTTGCAACTGAAAATCAAATTTGATTAAATGAAAATTAATTTCAGAGAAAGATTCCAACTCATTTTGCTAAGTGAGTCATTAAACAGCCAAAATGTTTACCTATGGATGTCACTCGCGCATCTACAATTTTACGTTGTTGAAAGCTTTCACTACCCTTCTTGGCAAATACATTCCTAGTTGAATAACATGCTGGAGGAAAAGTGATGATATACATCAGTATTAGTTAGGAATGTTCTTGTTGCCTTGAACAAGGAACAGAAGTAGCCTGACAAACAAAAGCCAAATATAAACAATTTCAGCATCTCTTTACTGTAAACCTGTCTCGTGTAGCACTTTTTAGTATTTGCACATGATAAAAGCTACGACTTTATCAATGGTGCCAACTCCTTTTCTCTTCCGCAGGTATTTCAAGATTAAAAACGAGCAGTCTACTGTCACTATAGCATATTGAAACTTCTCCTAGTGAAAACATAATATGCACCTGAAACTTACCAAATAGTCTTCAAGAAGATTTTTAGGTACTTATTCAAGAGAAATTAATAGTATTGATGATGGTGGGCACCCAGGAGCTTCTGCTTCCTTCCCCCAAATACCTTTCTGCTGCTGCACTTTGGGTGTTTTGAAATTGCTGTTTCCAAGTTAGGAAGTTTGGGCAGACAATTGGAGATGAAACTGATGGAACTAATGTGATTCTTTACCTACAGAGAACTGAGCTTGGTTTTCTCTGAAAGGGAACAGTTAGGGCAGAATTATACTATACTACCTGTGTTCCAGAAAGCAATAAAGAACAGAATGGGAGCAGCTCTTCTGATGTTTTGAAAATAGTTAAGTATAGGTATTCTAAAGAATCCCATTCAATGTTTTTAAAAATATACTGAATAATGGCAAAAGCATTGCTTATGTCTCTGCATTTGAATAGGATACCTTGTGGCTAACTAAACAGGAATCCTTACGTTTTGTGTTGCAATGCATACTCTTTCCATTAAAGAAGTTTAGTCGCAAAATGCCAATTCAAAAAAATACTTATTAAAAAAAGAAAATGTAATGTGGATAGTGCACAAAGCATGCTAATTGTTACGACGTGAGCCAGAGAGATCTGACTTTAAGTCTCGCCTTTGTAATATCATAGCTGCATTGAAATTTTGTATGAGCAGAAGTTTATATAAACTAAGTCAAATTTTGGCATTTTTCTGTTAAATGACTTCATATAAAAATAATTCCCAATTCAGTAAGTGCATTAATCCATTTCCTATTGAAGTTAGATCTATGACAATTAATCTATCACTAGGTTTTTTGTAGAATACCGATTTCAATTTATTTCACATAGTATAAAATCCACTAAGCTGAAGTTTAAGACGCATTAGCTTGCTGGTGCCCTATTCAGTAACAAGTGCTTGACAAGTGACCCCTGATACTCCATTTGTAAAGTGTGCAATTGAAGCTTTCTGGCTTTCGTAGTCTTTAGCTTTTCCTCAGGCTCAAATCACTGCTTGTTACTAATCCTGACAGAGATGTACTCTCTGATGCATCTTCTTTCTTGAGGTTCAGGAATGATTCTCTAGTTATCTGAAGAATTTCTCTCAAGCCTTTGTTTTCTTGCTATAACCAGAGAAAGAAAAGGCATTTAAAAGAACTACAAAAAGAAGATAACTGCATTAGTAATCTCCCTTCCACTCCATGCCTGTACATGAGGAATAAAATTGGGATTTGCAGACAGGTAGCTTTATGTTATATTTTAGAATTAAGCACATAGATTTCTGAATCTCTTGCTCTATTGAATGGGCGTTAAGCATCAAAAAAAAAAAAAAAGACAGTTATACAAGGATGGATAAGGACAGGTTAAATGACTTCACATACTGCATTTAAAACAAAACAACTTCTTTCTATACACATTGTCCCATAATGAACTGCTTTTATAGCATTTGATGAAAAAGCAATAGCATTGACCCTGCAGTGTTAAATAACTGAGTCAAATTGCCTAAAAATCACAAAAGTATAGAAGTGATTTTAAAAGCCGAGGATATGGACATATTTATTTGCATCCTAATTTCTTAGTCATTAGGATGAATTTGTATAATTTTCTTGCTTTTTGCTACACTCAGACTTCAACAAAGAGAAAGCTTAATCTATATAATCACTGATTTCTAGGGAAGAAGTGTAACCTATGCACAACTTTGATAGAATAGGCTACAATGAGAAAGTAAAACTTAATAGTCCACTCAACAAGGGAAGCGTAACAAAATAGCAACGTGAGCGAATGATACAGTAACTCCAAGAAGACATAGTAGCTCCCTATGACTAATTTTGATAATATTTGCTCCCTCGCTAAGAGATAAACAAAATCTTTGAGAGATCTAAAGTAAGCTTTAAAGCTTTTGTGAACATTTGCATTTAGTGGTAACCTGTTCCTCCAAACGCCAAAACAAAAAACAGACCAAAAGCTTCCCTGCTTTGAGGGCTGTATCCTAAATTGTATGTTACCATACTGTTTTCCTTTAAAATACGACAGTAGTCACTTCTCAGCATTTAATATTTGGAGAAGGCGAGGGGAATGGGAAGGTGGATCACTACGTGTGCCACTGCTGTTTTGATTTCATACTTACTTCAAGCTGAATGATACGTTCCTGCTCTTTACAGCCATGCTTTTCATCAATTTCAATGGCTTTTCTCATTACTGCTGCCATTTCTGTAATTTGGTCCACATGCACTTGCAGTTCCTAAGCCATAAAAAAAAAAAAGACAGCTTTAGTAATATATTTTCTGCACTATTTATTAAAAGTAAGTGAAGCATTAAATGTGCATTCTAACACTGTGCCACTTAATAAAAATAGGAAGACAGATCTAAACTTGTGAAATAAAACAAGCTCTCTGTAACTTTATAGCATGAGCAACCACTGTGGTTCTTTTTATCCAAACAAAATCTCTTTCGTCACATAAGGTTTCCTTTCGAGAAGTTTTTTTTTTGAAGCTTACATGTCTGTCTTTAGTTTATGACTTTGAGTCTGTTCAAAATATGCTGTAACATTACCCACATCAGTGATGACTTCTGCAAAGGTAAGCGTGTGCTTGCTCTGGCAAGAACTTCCTGTATTGCAGGAGCTGATTTCTATCATTTTGTATATGCAGAAAGAATAAATTAATCTAAGAACAGCAGTGTATTGTTCTTTCCATCTGAGAGCTGATCCCAAGGCTGGTACAGTAGCCAGTGCCAGCCCGCAGGTAAGCATTTCTCTCTTGAAAGTAAGCTAAAAGACCAGGTAAAGTGATCATCCCTCCTATGCCGTATATTAGGAAACTCAGTTTCCACTTTCTTTTTGGATATGTACTTCCACTTAAATCCACTTCTAATTCCAGCTTATCTAGGATCTGCACTCCAGAGATCCTTGTCCTTGCTGAACTGCACGAATGACCCTTGTCTCCTGACTGCCTATTAGTTAATGGTGGAAGGGTACTTTCCTATTATAACTAAGTAACTACCACATCTCACTGATAGATTCAGGAAGGAAGAAAAAAGCAGAGTATTTTGGTTTGCTCTTGTCCTGTTCCACTGCCAGGAGTAGGATGATAGGAACTATTAGCATAGGCATAATAGCCTTAGGAAGGAAGATAGTTTTACGTGATCTTCCCTGCTTACAGTGAACTGATCTCTTACCTGGACCTTGTTGGCTCAGGTGATACCTTCTTTTCACACTGGCCAACCTACCAATAGGAAATGCTGAAAGGATCTCTACTTCTTTTCCCTTAAAGCTCTAGATAAAGAGCGTGTACCTTTGGGACTCCCTGCTGTTCTGTTGAGCAATTTTAATGGTATTTCCAGAAACTTTTAATTTTCCTTCCCTTAACTTGTTTTTTATTCCAATTCTGCTATCATGCTAGCCTGACCGTGTCTGATCTGACCTTTGGACCAAATTCACAGCAGTTACTAACTAATATCAGGAAGAGTAGAAGAGTAGGACAGAAATCTGCTATTTCTACTGAAGAGCAGTATAGATTAAAGTTAAATCCCACCTTTAAGTTACGAGTCTGACTGGACATCCATACCTCTAGCAGATGATCAACTTGCCTTTAAACTACAAGAAACTATTAAACTATCATCAAAAACTACCTCACTTGGAATCATAAACAGTGACTGACCAAAAAAAACCCGTCATTAAAAATGAATGTCCCCCCCCTTTCCGCCTTTCCTCTCTGCCGCTTCAACGGCTGATGCTATGGTTTAGCTGTTGAAGTATCTTACTCTCCACTGAGAGCATGGCAAAAAGTAACTTGCATAAATCTCATTATTTTCTTCTCAAAGTTTCCAGTGAAGGCGATTACATAAAACATTTTTTCAATGAAAGATAATTTTTGGCAGGATTTTAAAGGGATATATTTGGCACTTAAATAAACAATCAACAGCGGTAAGAGAACAAGCTGCAAGGAAGTATCTAAGTTGTGAAAGAGTTATGGTTTCTAGATATACTGCGGTCTTCACTACTTTCTGTTTGGTACCCTATGAGGCCTTTTGATCGATACGATCTTCCAGAGGCTGTTCCAATGTCGTTAATGAGAGAACAGGTGCTAACACAAAACTGTGGCTTCTACTCTGGAAGCTAGACGTGTAAAAATTACATGCTGTGACATGAAACACTGCAGTGAAGGCATTTCTTTACGAATACGGCCTCAATGTCTGCAAACACTTTTTATGTATCTCTCCTTTTTATTTGCCATATATTGGTTGTTTTCTGAAGAAAAAAAAATCCATGCTTTTAGGCCTTATTTCAGTTGAGCAGACTCAAACAGTGCACTTAGCTCAAGGTCATTACTACTAACCCAAACACTTTCGGATACAGACAACACTGCTAAAAAAATTGTTGTTCTGTTTAAAGGAGGAGACTGTTGATTTGCAGAAATCAATGTGTTAAATAATCTTTTGTAAACAGGCACCCAAGCTGATAGCTGCCACTTGAGAAAACAGTGATTTTTTGTAACAGCGAGATTAATTTTTTAGGTGTCATGGATTTTTTTAGGTAACATGAGAAATGTTTAAAGAGTGCTTCAAGGCTGCCTAATATTACTGAATGTGAAGACTGATCAAAAGTATAAATAATGAAATTCCAGAAATTCTGAGTGTCAGGATAAGAATTTAAATCCTCTTCATCAGGCATTCTTGTGGAATCGGGTTTAACCAAAATGTTGAAGCTTAGATCTCCTGATTTAAATAATATTGTTCAGCGTACCTTTTATCCCAAGTTTTTATCCACAAAAGTGTTCCTAATTGCAATTTCTAAGTCCATTTCAGGATTAAATACCATTTTACTCTCTTGTCTTGGTACCAAAGCTCCTCCTGAGGCTGCACGGTGTGTTATTCTATGTGCAAAGGTAACTTCTTTAGAAAGGGGTATTATGAATTTTTAGGAGCTTATGTTGAAAATATAGTTCTAATCCTGTAAATTCTTTCATGTTAATCTGAGTGGTTCCATTTATTTCAGTAGCACTAATTACGTGCATATGAATTTGTAAGGAAATAAGAAAGTATGCATTGCATGAAAAATCTTAAGCTTTGTTTACCTAGTGTCCAGATCCTAACGCTGCTTTGCAGACCTGATTTTGCTGAGGATAAATATGATTAAACACTTAGAACTACAGTTTGTCTACACAGTTACACTGCTTTCTGAAAACTGCAAATCATTTAAAATGTAATAATAATACCTTGTTAGAAAGCGCAAACTTAAATCTGTTAATGACCTGTAAACATCAAAATTATTTTTATGACAATATAAGTAGAAAGTTGAAGCTATTTATCAAGGCTATAAAAATATAGGCTAACCTTCTCTGCAGCTGTTGAATACTCATATACACCTGACTCATGATAGGTTAGGAAAACATTACTTAATAGCAATTTCCTTTTCTAGTTTTCAAAAGCCATAAGAACGTCACCTAATCCCAGCAACTTTCCCACCATTCAAGCATTTCAAGCTGATCTGGATGCTACTTAGCAACTTTGATCAGCACTGAAGCAAGAATCATGGGTGGAAGCAGGAAAGAAGAGCAATGTACATCCAGTTAGTTATTCAATATTCAAAAGGGTTTTAAAGATGTTTTTTTTTTAAAGTTAAGATATTTAGGGAAAAAACATTGAATATTGACTTTAAAAACCTTGCCGTCCCACTCTTTCTCATAAGCACAGGTTCACTAGTTATTTATTGGTATCAAAGGCGAAAGTTAAAGACAGTCCAAACGTATGAGTATTACTAAAATCTATAGTATCTGGAAGTATAATAGAGCAGAGTTGCTTTAAAGACTTACACAAAAGAAAAGCAAATTAAGGTATAGTAATGAATTACTCATTGACAGATGCTTAAATAGATCAGCAGCTAGTAAGGTTAACTTACTAGACTGATTAAGCTTCCTGTTCATGCTTCACAGACTACATTGTAAAAATTAGAACTTGTTAGTACAATGATATAAAAACTGAGACAAAATAAGCATTGTATTGATCCATTACAAACTAATTTAAGTCTTAACTAAAAAAAAAAAAAACAGGAAACCAAAATAATTTATTACCTTGGAATGTTGCTCTTTTAACTTCATTATTATACTTGGATCATCCTTCTTGCTCGCCATAAGCAACCTGAACATCTGTTCTCTGTACTTGCTCATGATGAGTTCCAAAGCAGACTGATGTTCTTCAAGAGATGTGCGTAGTTCTACCAACATAATTTAAAATTCATAAATGTTTAACTGGAACAAAATGCAAAAATCCTTCAGCCTGAGAAAACTGAAATAAGCCATTAATTGAGTGCCCCAACTTCTTGCACCATAAAATCTACATAGTCTCTGTAAATGTCTTCAGTGATGACTGCACTGGGAAAATTCTTGTTTGGTCAGAAACAGAGGCTCTTTTGTTAATATGACTTCAGCTGTTTCAGCTGGAGTAAGCCATTTTGACAATCAGCTGAGGAGCTTTACTCTGGACACTTCAAGCAACACTGTATGTAAGCTGGAAAGAAGCTTACAGATCTGTTTTAATCTGCAACTTTGTGAAATAAAAATTGATAAAATGCCTGTGTTCAAAACATACCAAGTCTTGCTTAGGACTTATTAAAGGACTAAAATACTCTTGAGTCTTCATCAGTTAAAATTTTCCAAAGCAGAGCCTTCCATGCAGCAAACTCAAAAGACAAAGAAAAAAAGAAGAATAGAAAACAGCTCTTTAAGCCTGCTCTTTGGATTTGTTCATGCTTCACAAAAGGACAAAATTCCTGAGATGAGACAAGATTCATATGAATCAAGATCATCGACTCCTTTGCTGAATATTACTGTTAGAATGCCCAGTGAATTCTAGGAGGAGAGTCTTATACTGCAGCTAGACTGCTCCTAAATTAGTTACTTTTTAGCAATGGGAAAACATGTTTCCAAACAGATACCTATATTGAAGAAGTAAATTTATTTATCTCGAGACTGGTACTGAACTTCAGGATAGGGACCAAAAAACTCATCTTCCAAAACTCTGATCTTTTTTCCATTAATCATAGTCCTAGTGGTTGTCATTAAGACTCTATTACAATTAAATTACATAAAGACCAGTTAAACTAACAAAGATTAGAAGAAAAAACAAATCTCGTAGAGAAGCACTCTACAATCAATGGTACAACTCTCGCTGATTCCAACGGTGCAGGTTGGGAGCTTGAAAATTGACAGAATATTCAAGCTTTACCTTTATTCTCCTGTTGCAATTCCCTAATCTGTCTGTTTTCCTGCTGGATACCCATCACTAACGTAGACCGAGGACGATGTCTTGCTACTTCATTAAGCTCTTGAATTTCTTCTTGGTACTAGTCATTAAAAACAAAAAGTACATCAGTTGATGAAGGCAAGCATTACTCAGCAAGTAAGCAAGAATCCGTTCTAATGTCAGTCAAAGTTTGTAACCAGCAAGATGATGCTTATTTTTAAATGATTCCTTTTTAAAAATAAACCATATTCTTATGCCTGAAGGTTTTGCTAACTTACCACCTTTTACAGATACAAAAGTATTACCTTTGTTTTAAAACAAGCTGAATACTTCAGATTTACAATGTGTGCATGATTCAATCTTCAATGACTTGATGGTGAATTTGGCCTGCATTAAGTCATTAAAACTGATACATATACAGCAAAAAGAAACCATGAGGCATTAAATTCTAGATATTTATTACGATGGCTTTCCAATACCTTAAACCACAAGGCTGTATGGGACCAAGTCACATGGACGCATTCATGTGCCACTGTACCTGAATGAATGAATCCTTCCTCTCCTCAAGAGGATAAATTTGACACCCTCTGTTTAAAGCCATGAGGACTGTGCATGACTAATTTTACAGGCATATTAACATGTCCCAGGCTGTATTAAAATGACGAGATGAACTTCCAGATGGAAAGATAGTAGAGAGCTTTGTGTTCTTCCAGAAGTTCTCTAGTGAAAATCAAACTCAACCTAACAATTATCCCTTGGATAGTTTTAACACCAGAACAGAAATAATCACCCTGCTCACAAATAGGCTATTCTGAAACAACAGATGACAGTGAAAAGGTAAAATATTCTGAACAGAAGAAAGCATGACAGGACGTCTATATGATTAATTCTGCATGTCTACATGCATGCATGTAGAATAAAACAAGTAGTAATTCACAGAGAGCAGAACACAAGACACTGCGCATGGGTTTGTAGAATAGTCTATCAACCCCATTTCTAGCAGTGTTCTTCAGATAAATACTAGTTTTCAAAAGTCAAGCTAGTCACAAACAAGTAACTTGTTCACAGGATCAAACTAAATATATAAACAACCTATTTTGAGATCATAGTCACACCTGCAATGAGAATATTTAGTACAGTTTAAAAGGATGTATCAAATAACAGACTGATTCTACATTGTGTTGTAGCACACAAGAATGATTTTAAATGATGTGTTTCGAGGTTGTTTTTAATAGAGTAAACAAACATTGAAAAACAAACCTGTTTCATTGCTTCCACCCGCTTGTTAAGAGCTGTAGTCTGTTCAATAAGAGCTTCTGCAGCGTTGTCATGTTCCCTTAGCCGTTCCACCAGCGCTTTCGCATCTGCTAGGGCTTTCTCAATTGTGCAACTCATTTCTAAAGATCAGAAATGTATTATTTTTCATAAAAGCACCTGTTTGTTATATAGTAGAACTACTATTTAGTGGTGTGTGTGTGTGTGTGTGTGTGTGTAAAAATTTATCTTTTATTCTGAAGCAGCTGAACGCATCCTTTCCCTCTTCCCTGTATAAACAGAAATATCCAAACATTTTAGAATTTTGTCTTTTAGGAGCAGGAAAACCTATTCCCAAACCTAAGGCTTGCCTACTTTTAAATTGCTGTTAAGGCCATATATTAGAGCAAGAAAATGAAAGTAAACTTTGTGATGTGAGAACAGTACTGATCAACATATTATGAAGAATAAACATGGGACTACTGGACAGATAAAACCGAGTAGTATATGGAGTCTTTCTGTAACTAGCAGAAAGAAAAATGTGTTACTGAATAATGAAGTAGTTAATGTGCCCTCCTACCTGTCAGACACGCTTCTTAAGGTGGCATCAAGATATTTTAGAAGTGTAGATCCAGCATAAAGGAGAATGCTAATAGACTAGAATGGGCTGCAAGATTCTGAGGAATTAAAGCAGCACAGAGGGAAAAACTAAAACTGACAGAGTAGAAAAAAATTACACAGGAAATGTTTAGCGAGTCAAAAGCCTATGTTCTATTTATAGCTAAAACTGAACACAAACATCACTCCATGGGATGAATTTTTAAAATATGTAAAGTTTTCAACAGTATAGAGCAAGCCAACAGCTTAGTTAAAGAACAAACAAACAAAAAAACCAGACTTAAAATACCAGTCTTCTAATTGCAGTAGGTGTTAGCAGAAATCATCTATAGCTAAAATTGCAAAATGTTTGTACATACTAGCATTTTCAAAATGCTGGCCTTGACATTTAGACGTTCTCATATTCATTCTTGGTAGGTTAAGTTTCAAGGCCAAGATTCTTAAAGGGAAAAGACAAATTTGAAGACTGAAAAAAACTCACATTTTTTTCTACTGAAATGGAAATCTGCTGATACTCTTTAGAACAGTTCTTTAACAGTAAGATAGCAATGCTAGAGGCCTATCAGAATCACAGGTCTTATTAAAAGTAAGGCTGGATAGTTGTTTCTAGAAAATTTCTAAGCTACTGCAAGAATCACCTAAATCCCTTTCTTAGCCTGGACATTTGCTAAAGGATTTCTGTAAGCATAAGAGGTCAGTGAGCCACTGAACTACAGGAAAAAAATTCACTCTGAGTTGGTTTTCTAACTTCCTCAGGCACCTTTACAAACCATAGCCTAGTATCTTTAAGCCAAGCTTAATGAAATCTCCACATTTTCCCCAGCTGACGTTCTCCCACTGCCTCAGGTAAGTGGTGAAAATAAGGATATTTCAAATGAAGGAAATTTCACCACTCCACTGACAGATTAAGGGACATACCAAGACCATCCTACCTTCATGCATTAACGTGTGTGTGGAAACTAAGACAGATGGCAAGAGAGGTTGGCATGTTCTTCCTCACGAGCGTTTGTGCATCCCAGAACATTCTTCAAGATCTAAACTTTTCAGATCAAATTATCAACCAAAGCATTTTAATTTCATCAATGTGGTTAGATGCTCCCTCTGCTTTAATACAAAAGCATTCAGTTTACTTTTTCTAAGTAGAATTGTCTTTTAGGGACCCTACCATCACAGAGAGTATGAGCCTTGTTTACTCACAAAGAAGCTTCAGTAAGTGAGCTTCCTTTATAAATGGAGCACAACTGTTTAAAATTGTTTTGTGTGATTCATGTATTACTGAAAGTATCAGCATTTTGACACATACAGTTAATTCACAGAGTTAATTCCTTCCTATTATAAAATAAAGTTTTCATTGTGACTTCCCTATGATGTATTTATGCATGTGAGGTATCAATCAAGTTCTTCATCAGACTGGTGTATTATCACAGGTAGTTGATTTACTGACTATGGTTTAGCAGTTTGAGCTCTTTTTAATATTATGAAGAAAGGACTCATACTGCACGGTTTCTAAGGATTTGCTTTTTTTGCTTCTCATTTCTCATTCCAAATTTGGGCTCATGTTCTTTCCGGACTACAAAAATAAGGTATCGCAGATAATGACCCAGCCATGGTAGCTGTCTAAGCTGTTAGAGAAATTGATTTAATCAGATCCATAATTCAGGAGAATTTGGAGAACAGTCTTTAACTCGATTCACTGGTCATGAATTCTCCAGCTAGTCTAAACAAAGCCCCTCAGACCTCCCCATGAACTCAGAATAATTTTTGCACTCAGTCTACACTGGAGTTAATACCTCTGGTAATTTGTATGCATCAATAGCATTTTTAAATGCAGTAGATATTCACCCTTCTCTGCACTTAATCATTTTGACCAACATACACAAGATCACAAGAGGCCTGTTTGTAGCAAAGCCACTTGGGTTCGTTTTCACAGAGAAGGAGTTAGGGAAGATACATATGCACCTTGGGTGAAATGCAGCCATGCAAATTCACCATTACAGTGCGTGCAGAAGCTTTAACAGGCCAGATACCATTTCCTGTTCTCATGTAGGATTTGTACCTCAAAAAGGGGAATCATTATTTGTAACAGAATAATTTATAGTGGTTCCAAATCTTGAGTAGGATGCCACTGGCCCTAATCCCTGGAATTTAAAATTCTAATTGCTCATTTGTCTGCTATTAAGAACAAAATGCTTTCTTATCCTAAAATAGATCTGACTCTGTAATTTAATCTGAACATCTGGAAACAAACCAAGGTATCAGTTGCATTTGAGCCAAACAAATCCTCATAGTATATTGATTTGTTTATAAGCATGAGGACTACAGTAGGTAAGGTTTATGACTCCTGCACCCCGCCCAAGAAGAGGTGTCTAGCTGCAAGTATATTTGTTAGTCTGCAATCTTATAAATACAGCTGTGTCAACAGGTAGCAAGAGCAACAGCTCAAAACAGCACAGCAATACTGCAACCTACATACTCATTTCCTGTCGCTTCCTGCCATTTACTAATTGCTTTCGTTATCTAATTTGGCTGCCTTAAAAAAAAAAAAACACACAAAAAAACCCCAAAATAAAGACTGTATACAGCTTTAACCTTCCTCTATTTTTCTGTATCTTCTTCCTTTTACATCATCATTGAAAACTCCCCTTTTCCCCATGGCTTAAATTTTCAGTTGTTCTCTCTTCTGTTACCAGTTTTGTAACGCTGCACGACCCTGCAGTTTGTAACAGTCTCACGCAGGATGCAGACGGCCATGACTGCCATCTACGCGAGAGGAGAGCCCCACGAGCC